GCCAATTTCTCTGCTTCCTGGCCAATACGGAGTTACACTCTACCCAGATAACACAACATAACTAACTAACATAGTTTCTTTTAATGCAGTTAACAGAGATTTTTTTGCATCTTTCGGCAAAAAATCGCGGTAAAAAGTCCCTTCGCACAGGGGCACTCAAAAGCAGCCCCAGTTGTAGCAGCATTTATCCGCTACCAAAGCTGTTGGCAACTTTCTCTCTTAATAAAGAAATTTTTCAAATATTTCCTAAGTTTCTTAAGAAAAAGTCGTTTTAAACATAAGAACAACTTTTTTTCCTGGAAATGCATAGTTTTTTGCGCAGGCGCCTCTTAAATTTTTCTGTCTGCACCAAAAGGAACAACTTTTGACCATGCTTTTTAATATTAGCTAAGCTTTTTTTGCTTTGCGCCCCACCCAACATATTTTCCACTTCTCGATCCGAAATTCTTTTACTTTTTTTATAACGGGACAAAAATCTCGCCTTTCTCATTCTCAAGAACAGTAAAATCGAGAATTTTCGACAAAAAACCCGACAAAAAAAAACCGACGAAAATATCGTTTCAAAAATTTTTTGAAGAAAACTTTATTACTTGATTTTTTTCCAGAAAAAATCAATATTTCAATCACTTGACTTTACTTTCAGACAAATGCCACATCAGGCACTTCAGTGGCCAAAACACTGGTAACAGCAGGTACACAAGAAATGTCCTCCAGTGTACCCCTCTCAACAGCAACACCATCCAGAGAACAACTGCTGACCGCACGATATGCAGCTTGATCAAACAGCTTCTCTCGGCCGACAAATTAACTTGCACGGAAAACAGTTTCTCGAGATGTGCGCAGAAGCAAAAACGTTACCAAACGATGTCGCAAAAAGAACAAAAAAATGTTTGCTGCACATTTGTCTACGTCTCTGATTTCTGTATTTTTGCGAATTTTGAGCATAGCTTCGAGATTTTGCTTGAAATTCACCAAACCAGAAACAACACACAAAATGCTATCCAGAATCTTGCCTATCTTGCCTATTAATAAAATTATATTGAATGAACGAGATAGGAATGAACGAAAATGCGCCAGTATATAATAAGTATTCAAAACCCAGGCTAA